AATGTTTTGCCACAAAAAAATCTAAAGGATTAGAAATAGAAGGAGGCACTGTCTGCAGAAGGACAGCTGGGAACATGGGAAACAAACAAAACTCTTCGGAGACTTCCCAACTTTGTCAAAGGAAGGCTCTGTTTACCGTCAAGCTGGGAGGGACAGACAGCAGCCGCATGGAACTACGCTCGCTGTGCTGGTATCAAATGCAAAGTGCAGGCTTCAGAAATCTGCAGGTTTACTGTGAATGTATTTTGAAGATTCTTACATGGAAAACTTCCCCCAAAATCCTTTTTACCATCTTGGTCATATTTCATTCTCAGTCTGTTTGAAGTCAGATCACTAAGTCTGTTTGAAGGCAAGAAAATAAGAAATTTACTTTACAAACTTTGAAAAAAATATTTAAGCAAACTTATGCTTTGAAATATCATACTGTTTATGAAAACTTAACATAGTTTTAAAAAGGTTAACCAAATTATGCATCTATTTTTCTAGAAGGTGCCATTCATTTCCTGGAGGATAACTTCAAATTTAGGTGAAGTTTAAAAAAAAATCCTTGAATATTCTGAAAATACATGGTATGCATTGTTTTTTGAAAAACATATTCATTTCACATAAAACAGCTCCCTTTAATAAATATATGTCAATAGCATTGCATTTTGCCTAGTTCATCGATACTTAATAATTTAACCCTAAGCTATTTGATTACTTTTCTCTGGCTAATCTGTTACAGAAAAGACATGTTGTTCTTCTATAACCAAGGCCTTCTGACCTTCTTATCACTTCCACCCTGACTTCTCAGACCTGACAGTGGTGAGCAGTCAGCAATAAGGAGAGCGAAGCGGGGGCGGGGGTCAGGGAAGCACTAGGGAGCTCTAGGGTCACAACCTGAGGAGGTCCAAGCCCCCAGCTACCACTTAGTGGGGCGAGCATCCATTCATTAGTCTATAATATGCACGAGTTGGATTGAATTAGAGGTTAAACATCGTTAAACCAAAAATCCAAAATGATAAAAAAAAAAAAAAAGTTTTTCAGTGCCAACATAATGCCATACATGGGAAATTCCACCCCTGACTTCATGGAACATGTTACAGTCAAAAGGCAGGTGCACTAAAATATTGAATGAAATTAAGTTGAGGGCATTAATATAAGGTATATGTGAGCACAAACTTCAGAAAATGTGAAATCCAAACCACTTCCGGTCCTGAGTATTTTCAGCATGGAATTCCGAACCCGTGTGCTAAGATTCCTCCTGGTTCTGAAACGCTGCCCTGCTGTCTGTGGTGTACGAGGTCTTTCCTTCCGCTGGAAGCCTTTACTTTAAAAATATAAATATGAGATACCACTGCTTCATGGTCTTCAAGTGTCACAGAGTGCGACCACCACTTCTAGCTGCAGCTTGAGAAAAAGCCCTATGCACCCCTTCCCACTGTCACCTCCCAGATCCAAAAGAAAACCGAATGGGCTGGTGTGTACAGCCTGAAGGGCTGCGGCCGGTCTTCACAAAGAAGGCCTGCACGTGTCTACACTGTCAGACGGCCGGCTGCCTTTCGACCTGACTGAGCACGGCTTGCAGCAGCTTCCTGACACTACCAGTAACATCACACACAACAGAACATACATCCTTGACTGAGCCACAGTTCAATACGGAGCGACATAAGAAATCCAGGAAATACATGCTTAAAATGTAAGCTGCTCAAACAGCATAGCTACTGAGGGATCTGGGGGAACAGACGCAGACTGCGTCTTTTATGCTTAAAAGCCACAAGTTAGGATTATTCAGTGGCTATTGTCATGGTCTTGTTTGAAAAGGCCCCAATAATTTCTTAAGACATCACATTTTTAAAAAAAGACCACATCTATTTCTCCCAATAAAGATTTAGAGGAACAAGAAATAACATTACTGAGTGTGTTCAGGGCATAGAAATAAAGCATGCCTTCCGGAGACTGGATGAAAGAGAAAAACAGCCCTTTAGAATTAGTAGGTAGCACTCTAATCTGAACCTTGTACTGTGCTTTTCAATCCTAGCAAAGAAACAATTAATAAAGGAACCCATTAAGACCTGATTATTGCTGCTAAAAAAGGAAGGTAGAATTTCAGTCCTTTGAAGTAACTGAGAATGATTCAGGCCTCATTACAGAGATATAATCTACATTCATACATTTATGTTAGTGATTCAAATCTATTGGGAGAGATTGAATTCCGTTAAATAGTGCATCTTTCCTGTGGAGCCTTTCTCAGGCTTTCTGCTCTAACCTAAGAGGTGACCGGACAATACAAAGCGGTGGGGTATTTAGGGACTGGGCTGTGCTATAAAAGAAAGGCTGTACAGAAAAGAAAAAGAAGGAGATATAATCTAAAAAGCTAAGTCAGCTTTTCCTTTGGGCTGTTTTGTAAAGGCCCTTCCTGTCATCATGCCACGCAGAGGAGCTGAGGGAATGTTCTAGAACTTTCAAACACTGCACCTGCTGTGGCCAGGTTTGAATGTGGAAGTTCTGAAGGCCTCTTTCCCCCATTTTAGACCAAAAGGTAATAAAATTTCTGGCTAAAAAATCTGAATAGCTTCTACGGGGCCAGAAAGATGGTAAGTGTGTGTCTAGGGAGGCTTGCTAGTTCTGGCTGGGGGTGGGGGTGGTGTCTGGTGTGAGTTAAAAAAAAAAAAATTAATTCCCAAGCTGGCATCAATAGTGTTGGTTCCCAGAGTAGAGAAACCCCAAAATAATAACTTCCTGTGTTTTGTAATTTTTCACAGCAGAATGTTTATTGTATGGTTTCATCAAACATAATTTTTTTTTAAAAGCATGTAGTTTTAATTAGTTGTCAATTCAAACATTCTTCTTAAACTCTTGGGCTGAAACTCAAATCCTTTAGAAATAGTACACTCTTTCAGGCATTTGTCCTCTCAGGTATGAAACTGTGAACTAGGAAATTGAAATTAGCACCGCGGTTTCAGTTTTCAATATGCATGCTTTAATTAAAGAGGAGCAAGAATAGTTTGACGTTTGCTCTTTATTTGCTTAACTTTCCAATTAATAGCTACAGAAATCAGAGCTAATTTGATTAAGCTTAAAAACCTACTGTGATGTTCACCACACTGTTGAAATCTTCTGAATGACCGTTACAACGGGTCATAAATAATGCAATTAAAATCTTGATTCTGGTATTAAGTGGTTCTCTTTCAAAGGCTTCGAACGCCCCGGAAACTGTAAGAGCATGCACGTAAGGCCATTCTTCCAAGGCACCAAGCAGTATGGTTGGGTAATCACTCCTAATGCCCATCTCTAGCGCTCCACTTTTAATTTCTTTGTATTTTTTCCAGTTTACCACGAAGCTTGAGAACAAACGCACATTATAGGGATTCTGGCTTCTGTACCAAGCTCTTTAGATTAGTTCCTTCCGAATTCAACTTGCAGTTGTTAAACTCTCAAATCACCTTGAAATAGTTCCTCCTCGGGCCGGCAGCCCATTAGGCTGAACCACACGTAGGACGCTGCGGCTTTTATTAGGTAGAAAGCTGCACGATATTGACAATTTCACGTGCGTGAACCAAAAGCCCCGCAAGTGCCGCACCGCCTCCCGCAACGGGGCCTGCCGGACTCCCGCCCCAGCCTTCCGCGGTGCGGGCGCTTTCCGCGGCCGCCCAGCAGGCCCCCCGGCGTGCGCGGGACCCTCG